GATTTTTAAATTTTACTGAAATTCAGACCCAAGTCTTTCTAACACTGTGTTCTTTGTGCTCTGCTCTGTTGCCTTTCCTGTGCCCTGGCAAGGAAAAGTGGTAAATTTGATGACTATCATGGAGCAGGGTTTTTCTCACCACAGCTGCAGGACATTGGCCCAACTTGAGCCTTTGGAGACGTTGCTTTCACCACCTGCATCTCATAAGATCTAGATTTGAGATGAAGGTGGGGAAGAACAGGAGAGGCAAGGACAGAAGGTAGGAATGTGTGTGCTGAGGGGTGGGACACATACTGTACAGATTGGAAACCAACCTAACTGGAACAAATAACTCTATCCCCAAACCTCTACCTCCAAACCACAACACTCCCATCTTTTTCACCCTGGACCTTTGTTTCCATAGTATGATCCCTGAACCACTGGTATTAGAATCCCTTCGGGAAATTGTTTAAAATGTAGATTCCTGGGCTCCACCACAAGGTACTAAATCTCAATTTCTATTGATAGAAGTGGAGCCGAGGAATTTGCATTTTAAACAACATCTTCAGGTAATTCCAATTAAGAGCCACTTCGATTAGGAACAACTGCCTCAGACCAATGGTTTCCAACTTTTTGGATCATGCACCCTTCTCAGAAAGAATTGTTTTGAGCATTCACCTTTAATATATGTTGGTAGTTTATTAATAAATTACTTATATCTACTAATGTTCTAATATTTATGTTTTTAAATGCAAAAAACGGTGAGTTTTGCATTAGTATTCTTCGATGAGAATGGTCTCTGGTTTTCCTTTATGTATGTTCTAGTTGCTAGGTTTTGGTATTGATGTTATGCAGGATTCTTTTCTTCTCCCCCTATTCTCTAGATTCCAGAGTCTAGAAAGTGTAAATAGCATTGAGGTTGTCTGTTACTTGAAGGTTGGTAGAATTAACACAAGATCATGGGAGTGTGCTGTTTTTTTGGTCAAATTTATCAAATTTTTTCCTATGATAACCTGTGGTTTAGATATTTTCGTTCTTCTGCAATTAGTTTTGGTAATTATGTTTTCCTAGAAAACTAAGTTTTCAAATCTGTTTTCATACAGTAGAGCAAAGTGTTCTCTTACTCTTTTCATTTACTTTGTAACTGTGGTTATTTCTCCATTTCTAATTTTGTGCATTTAGGGTTTTTAATTAGATTAGCAAGAGGTTTATCTGTTTTATGGTTTTATATTTTCTTTTGAAGAAAGCTTTTGGCTTTAATTATTAGTTCTATTATTTGTTTTCTAGTGTATTAATTTCTGCCATTAGTTTTATTTCTGCTTTGCTTAGGTCTATTTTTGTGGCTCTTAACTTATTTTGTTGAAAGCATAATTCATTTATTTTAATTTGTTTTTATGTATTAATATAAGTATTTAAGACTATCAATTTTCCTTTAATCATTGTTTTAATCAACCACATCCTCTTGCTTCTGATATTTTCATTGTTGTTATTTGTAGGTAGTCTACAATTTTAGATTAGATCTCCTCTTTGACTAGAGTGAGGGATATTTTCTCCCTTTTATTTTCTGTGTGCTAGAAGTATTTGTTTTTCATTTTGCTATTAATTTCTAGTGTTATTTTATTGTGACTGGATACAGTTTTGTCATCAGCTGAAAAAGTCTTATATTTTGTTTCTGCTTTTTCTACCTTTGCATTTTCTATATATTTGCTTTATGAATTTTGATGCTATGTTATTTGGTACATAAAGATTCAGGGTAATTAGATCTTAATTGTGTTTTCTAATCATTAATATTATAGTGCCCTTCTTTGTCTTGTTTATTGCTTTTTCCCTTTAATTCAACTTTTTTTATGATATGAGTATCATGGTCCTTGGGGTTTTTTTGGGAATTAGCTCAGTTATTAAATATTTATGGAATGCCTACTATGTGCCAGGCAGTAGGTACCAGATGAATGAGACACACAAGATCTCTGCCCTTGTGGGGGTGTATGTTCTGAGAAAGGCAAAATAGAAAAATGATAATTAAGGATAAGTTGTCTCTACTTTAGATAAGGTGGTCAGGAAAGGCCTCACTGCCTGATAGCATTTATCATCCTATTACTTCCCACTCACCACCTTGTTTGTTTGTTTCCTGAGGGGGGAAATGCCAGGTGGAACAGTCTGTACACAAGGGATTATTATAATCTTAAGGAGCTATAGGTGGGCTAAGGTCCAAATAAGAAGAGAATGGGGATGTGTGGCTATGAATTTCTGATCCACATGAGGGATGAGCTAGCCAGGATGGGGACTGCAGATGAGGGGAATGAAGGAGATTTTGCTTTCCATTCTATCTGACCTGGGCCACCATTATGTGTATTATTATTTTTTGAGGAAATATTCTCAGTCTTCATTGTGACTACTGAATGGATATTCTGTCTGATGATTTAATTGAACTGCTGGAATTTCCTGTCACTAGGCAGTACTTAGCATGATGCTGATTGCTCACAGACTACAGCAGGAAACCAGATCTTCTGGCTTAGAGGGCTTAACTCTTTAAACTCAGAGATTAAAGAGATGTCCTTTGCTTTGGTCCCTCTTTATTATACAGAAGTTTAACTTTTATACATATTTAACTAAACCTGGACTTGTTTTCCTTGCATATACTTTTCTATTACTTATGAGATGAGAGTCTTATTTCACCTCACAAGTCATAGTTTTTAAGCTTTCTGATAGTTTTTTCTTATAACTACGTAATATATATATACATATATACACATATAACACATATTAAAATTTTATACACACACACACACACACACCCTGAACTCTTGAATCTGAAATTTATTTTGGTATATAATATATGGTACAGCTCCAAATAACACTGCTCTGCAATTGTCTCAAAAATATCTATTAAATAATCTTTATCTTCTTGTTATGGAAGGTGAATTATATATGACATTTTTATAAATAGTTTGATATGTTTCTGGACTTTCAATTATGTTCTATTAGTCAGTAAAACAGTTTTAATTATAATTGCTTTATATTATGCTTTATACCTTACTTACCCCCCATTTCCTCTGTAGCAAAATATGTTTTTTATTATACAGTAGTCCCCATGTATCTGTGGGAGATATATTCCAGGACCCCCAGTGGATGCCTGAAACCACAGATAGTACTGAACCCTATATATACACTATGTTTCTTTTAAATACATACATACTGATGATAAAGTTTAATTTGTGAATTAGGTAGAGTAAGAGATTAACAGTAATAACTAATAATATAATAGAACATTATAACAATATACTGTAATAAAAGTTATATGAATCCTGTCTCTCTCCTTGATCAACTTCCTCAACCCTGCCAGAAATGTGGCAGTGGCTTCTTCATTGACAGATGCAGCCTTTCCAGTAACTTTCCTGTTTTTCAGTCCAAACCTATTCCTAAATCTTTGTAACCATCTCTTACTTGCAGTAAATGGCTGAAGTCACTTGTTTCAGGGGATCCCTTGCTGAAGTCTTCGTATAGGCTCCATGTTTTCTGGCGCAACACATTGCTGTCAGTCGGAACATGCTTTCTGTTCATGTCTTCCATCCACAAATTTAATGCCTTTCCATCTTACCTAAGCCCATGTCATGCACTCTGGCTGTAACTTTTGCAGTTTGAGGTATGACAGCAGGCACGAATTTCTTTTTCCTTCTTCATGATTTGATGGATACAAGATTCGTTCTTACCATAGATCTTAGCAACCTCAGCATATGATTTTTTCCCTTTCCTTGTTAAGTCAAGAACGTTCACCTTTTCACTTAAAGGAAGCACTTTACGGTTTCTCTTTGGCAGATCTAAATTGCCAGCATCTCTACTCTTAGGCCTTGGGGCCATTATTAAGTAAAATAAGGGTTACTTGAACACAAGCACTGTGACACTGTGACAGTCCATCTGATAACCTAAGACAGCTACTAAGTGACTAATGGGTGGGATCCGCTGGACAAATGGATGATTTAAGTCCTGGGAAGGATGGAGCAGGATGGCGGGAGATTTCATCACACTACTCAGAATAGTGTGCACTTCAAAACTTATGAATTGTTTATTTTGGGAATTTTTCATTTACTATTTTTTGGACTGTGGTTGACTACAGGTAGCTGAAACCTTGGAAAGTGAAACAGCGGACAAATGGGGACTACCATATCCTGCTTTATTTTGCAAGTTAACACAAAAATTCTATAGTTAAAAGTCCTGGTGAGAATTCTGATTGGAATTGCATTAGAAGGATATATTTTAAATCCAAAATAGCAGATATTTGTGAATGGCCTGCTCGATGTTTTTTGGTACAAGTATAAGAACATGGACAGAAAGTATACATGCCAAATTCATGATATAGCTTGCATGTAGAGAGGCAGCAGGGGAATAGAAGTGGGGAGTGAAACAAAGGATATTATTATTTTAAAAATTCATGAAGCATAGATGGTAAAGTATTAAAATGTGCTAATTGTGGGCAGTAGGTGGGAACATGAATATTTATTATAACAATCTCTGTATGTTTTTAAACATTTGAAATGTTTCATAATTAAAAACAAAACAAAAACAACAGATGTAGCAGGATAACCGCACTTGCAAGCCCCAGAACACAGCACATTTGTGTGGGGTGGTGTGTATATCCAGACTTTGGAGTTAGACTCTCCATGTTCAAATCCTAGCTCTGCCACTTACCAGCTTTATGACCCTGAGCAATGACTTAACCTGCCCATGCCTCAGTTTCCCCAGCTATAAAATCAGGACAATAATAATAGCTACTTCCTAGGGTTATTGTGAGCATTAAATAAGTTAAGACATGGAAAGCACTTAAAACAGTGTCTGGCACTTAGTATGCACTCAGTAAGTGTTAGCTATCAGTATTATATAGCATATATTATTATTGCTACACTTACTACCTATATTATATTGTTTTGTGGCTGTTTTAAATTTTACATAAATGATGTTATCCAAAATTATGGGACCATCTGCAACGTGCTTGCTTTATACAACCTTTATCTGCTGTTTTGCAGGGAAATGGCTCATTCCAAGGCTAGCTTTTCATGGGCAACCCCCTTCCATCCTTGCTTTGAGAACCCAGCACTGGACTTGTCAAGCTACCGAGCAATCTCTTCTCTTGACCTCCTTGGAGACTTCAAGCACTCCTCAAAAAAACCAGAGGAAACCTCCGTTTATGAAGAGGATAGCTCCCTAGCCTCCATGCCCCACCCACTGCGGGGCCGGGCCTTCTCAGAGAGCCACATCAGCTTGGATCCTCAGAGCTCCCGGGCCTGGGGGCAGCATAGGAAGGAGCTCTTTACCAAAGTTGATGAGATCCAGCCAGATCCTCTGGGTGCCAGGAAGAAGGCCTTTCCTCCTCCTCGCCCTCCTCCTCCCAACTGGGAGAAGTACAGGCTCTTTCGTGCAGCCCAGCAGCAGCAGCAACAGCAGCAGAAGCAGCAAAAGCAGCAGCGAGAGGAGGAGGAAGAGGAGGAGGAAGAGGAAGAAGAGGAAGAGGGGGTGGAGGAGGAGGGGGAGGAGGAAGAGCTGCCACCCCAGTATTTCAGTTCAGAAACCACTGGTTCCAGTGCCCTCAATCCTGAGGAGGTCCTGGAGCAGCCCCAACCGCTGGGCTTTGGCCACCTGGAGGCTTCAAGGCAGGGCTCACAAAGCCTTCCAGCAGAGCAAGGGTCCTTTGCTCTCCATTCCAGCAATTTCCTGCCTCCAGTAAGGGGCCATTTGGGATCTCAAGCTGAGAAGGCTCTGCCCCCTTGCTATTATGGCATTGGTGGGCTTTGGAGAACATCAGAGCAGGAGACCACTGATTCCCCCAAGTAAGTGCTTATGAAAGACATTAGGTCCCTGAAGAGGTGGCAGCATGAGTTTGAATTCCACCTTCACCATTTGCCAGCTGTGTGACCTTGGGCTGGTCAATTAAACTATTTCCAGCCTCAGTTTTCTCACCTGGAAAATGGGCATGATGATACATGGTTGTTGTGAATATGAGGATAATCCACGTAAAAGACATAGCCCCATACTTAACACATAGTAGGTACTCAGTAAATGTCATTGATGTTCTTATCCCTAAATATCACTATCAAGGTTCTATATTTATTTTTTTCTAGTTTGTCTTTAAGGTATGCATCAGTGTCTGGCCCCTGAGCAATAAGGCATTGAACCGTTATTGCCTTGTGGCCTTTTCCAGAAGCCTGGCTCAGGTCCTTTTCTGCCTTTTCTGCTGCTTGCTCTCTAGAACAAGAGGCCAGCTCACAACCTGACCTGCCTCTGCTGTAGGACCTGTCTGAGCTTCTAAACTCTTCCCCCACCCCCAGCATCAAAGGTGTTCCTGGGGTTGGATGCATTATGCCCTGGCCATTCCTTACAACAGCCAAAGGCATTCTTTTCATCTTCCACTTTCTCCATCACCCCCACCCTTGTTTCCTCTGCCTCTTTGCATTTGCTTCAGTGGGCAAATGGTAGTACCAAAAGTGGTAGTTGACAGGGTCAGCTGTCTGGGCAGAGAGGCTGCAGAAGGAGTGTACTCTGGCCACAGAACTGTTCCCTTCACTGTGCCAATGCTCATTGGCGTGCCCCACAATGTGTGGTTGTCCTCTTTGCTCCAAAACAAAAGAGCTTTGGCTTTTGGCTCTGCCAATCCTCCTGCAGAGAGCTCCATGGACTCTCTGCTGGGGATGGGGATGAGGGGCAGGTGTCTATCCTTTCAGTGCTTCCTTTAAATACCTTTACAGAAGGAACTTGCCTGAGACTTGTTGCTATTAGAAGTACCTTGTTATCGTGTCTTTTACTGATGGACAAATCCATTACTTGGCTATCTGGAGCTAGTTGACAAGTTTTCCAGCCTAAGGTGCCACAGGCACAGCACTTACAGGGCCTGGCTCCCAGACACTATGAGAATTTGTCAGATCCCTAGTGGCTGCTTCTCAAGCTGCCCATCTAGCTGGGGGGTATTCTTATTCTAATTAGAAAACATTTGTGGAAAGTGACTGTGGATTGTTACCTATCACAGCAGAGAGAAGAGAAGGCAACCTAGCACATAGTAGGCACTTAATATTTCTGAAGAAAGAATGAATAAATGAATGAATGATCACGTATTAAGCATTTGATATGTGTTAGACACTGCTAGCCATTTTATATCTATTATTTCATTGAATTCTCCCAACGGCCCTATGGGCCATTATTATCCCCATTTGACAGATGCGGAAACTAAAGCTGAGTAAAATAAGGGACTACCTAACTCAGAATTACACAGAAAAGACTCAAAGCCAGATCTTACTCCAAAATCTATGCTGCTTTTGCCATCCTAGGCAGGCTCTCTTAGGGAGATCTGGTTCCTGCAGTAGCCAGGCCTTTACTTAGACCTCCTGTCCCCTAGAAGGCAATGTGTACCAGAGGTAGTAGTTACAGGCCCCAGGCTTACCCCTTTCAGCCTCCTAGTCCTTCCTCCTTTATGTACCTCCATTCATCTTGGCACCTTGTCCAGAGAGAAGGAAATTGCTATTACTAGAGATCTTGTAACTTGTTGCACAGATTTTCTTTTTCTTAATGACTATGGGATGCAAGGGGAAACATTTGTTTGCATACAAGCCTGGCTTGTGGCTGCAAAATGTCAATTGTAGATGCTTCTTTGAGTGATGGAGATTTAAGGAAAAACATCATTCCCGACATAGCTAATATTTTTTGCCTCTTTACTATGTGCCAAGCATTGTTCTAAGCACATTTGTTTATTGACTGATTTAATCTTCACAACAAGCCTATGAAATAGATACCATTAGTTTCCTACAGTTTTTAGATGAGAAAAGTGAGGCACAGGGATATAAATTAAGTTGCAGAAGATCACAGGTAGCCAGACCCAGATAGTCTGGCTCACTGTGCCAACTACATCACCCCAGGATCTCTGGGCTCCTCAAGAAGATCCTATTCCAGACCCTCAGAGAGCACAGGGTTCTACCCAGCAGGAAGTGCCTTTAAGGTTTTGTAAGGGAAAGTAGTGTTAAGGGCAAGTAGATGTGTAATATTTTGAATCTAAAATGCAAAAAAAAAAAAAGACATCCTAATTTCAGCCACGTTAAACTAGAGTCTCTCTGTAACCCACATACTCTTTAGTTATAAAATGTCAGGATACATGTAGAAGCAGGTGAGTGGAATTATTGAGCATTGGTTAAATCTGATAACTCTGATTCAATTACAGGTATAGTTTGCTTTATGGACTCTATGCATTTTCTCTCAGTGCTCTGGAGAAGGAATCTTATTTTTGCAACAAAGTTCATTATCAAGGTCAAATTATGTTCTCATAGATCTCCTATAACCTCTGCCCTATTAATGGAGAATATGAGGAAAGGAGCCCTAGAACACAGTGCCTGATATGATACACTATAATATAGTACAGGGCCATGTCTGCTAGGGAACTGAGTCTCTAATTAGCACATCCTCTTTCAAAATTTTTCTCCAGTTTTATTGAGATATAATTGACAGATAGCCACATCCTTTTTTTAAAAAAAATTCTGTGCTTTCTTTCAGTACTTTCTAACTTTCAACTCGCACACATGCCCCTAAATATTTTTCTTATAGGTAGGAATTCCCTAAATTCATACATTTATATTTCCTCCAGAATGTTCTCTCTTCTCTGCTAACATAGATACAGTCCAGCCAGAAAATTCCTTACATTCAGGGTTTTATGTGATGTCAAGTTGACCCTTTGGCAGTATAGTATAGTGGCTAAAAGCACAGATTCTGGAGTTAGGTCACCTAGGTCTAAATCACGGGTCTGCTATTTACTGTCGTGATCCCGGGAAAGTCACTTTACCTCTCAGTGCCTCATGTTCCTCATCCATAAAATGGTTGTCATGAGCATTACATTTTATGTCTATATTTACACACACACACACACACACACACACACACACACACATACATATATATCTTAGTACAGCTCCTGGGCATAGTAAGCACTATGTGAATGTTAGCTAGTAGTGCTCTTTTATCAGTGCTATCAGCTTAAAAACCTACATGTAAAATGAATACCTAGGATGAGCAATATTGGCATGCCCAAATTTCTTTTGTGTGGTGAATTAGGAGACAGCATAGCATGAATCAGTAAATAGCTGTGGAGCCTTTTACCCATTATTTTTGACCTTTATCTAAGAGCTGCAAATAGCTGCAAAAATGACTAATGAGTTTCTCCTATTTTTCCTTTCAAACAGCTAGAGGTTAGTGAAGGGGCAGTGACACAGACAGGTGGAGGGTAGGGATGGCTGGTAGGCAACAAGAACATAGTGGGGGTGGGTCTCCCCTTTACATAAACCATAGGCGGAATTATTTGCCTCTCCATCACTGAACCCTAACATTGAAGCATTTCATTTCTTTCCTCACATCAGACCAGAAGCTTTGATGGCAGAAGAGTCCAAACCTAAGCCAGCATGGAGCCAGAGCTACTTCTTTCCTGAGGAGAAGTTCTCTTTCATGGGCTGGGGCTCCGAGAAGCAGCACCTCAACCCCGCAGCCTTCAGTGAACCCAAGACAACAGGGTCTGCTGTTACACTTGTCAAGCCCCTGGGCACCACTGGTTCCATTTCCCCCCATTTCATTCTGCAACCATGGAGGAGGCTGGGACCATTGGGGATATGCCAGAAGTTGAGAGATGTTATCCCTTCTCAGGCCAAAGGCCTGCCCCACCTCAGGCAATCTCAGAAGAGCTCATGAGAGATGTGGTGGGCTGTGAAAAGTCTCTGGCAGGGGTGCTAAACTCATCCTCCAACACGGTGACCACTGCTGAGGTCATAGGTGACCTCTTTGCTGTGGGAGAGATGCAGTGGAGGGGTTATTTCAAGCAGGAGTGGCACCACCAGGAAAGGTGAAATGATGAGCGTGTCCAGGAAAGCCATGGAGTGCCTTTATAAGCAAGCAGACTAGATAGAGCCAGGTTGGGCTAGCATCCAGGATGGGTAGGATGGAGCCCAACGGCCTTAGAGGACAAATAGCTAAGGTCTCAGACATGTCTCTACCACCTAGCCCCTCCCGTGGGATCCATATACTGGGACCCTGAACCAAGGGGAATCATTGATGATCAGAAGCCTGGAACTTTAGGGGCCTTCTAGTTTTTTCTGGATTTTATTGGGGTGTTAATGACCAAACCCATTGATCTCTAAAGAAGTCCCCCCAGCTGTGGAAGTCAGGGATGTAGAAATAGCCTTCTAAGTTCTTAAAGTTGGCCTTAACTTGGTTTCTAGGGAGCCTTCACATGGCCTGTTTATGTTTGAACAGTGCCTCCCCATCCATTATTTCCTTATTTTATAACTCCTTGGTGAAGCAGGGTCCCATTTTATAAATGAGGAAATTAGGAAGCAGAAAGGTCAGCAGGCTGTCAACAGAGGTGCTCAAATGGTCATTTTTTGTTTCCACAGACAAGAGTTTCAGCACTTCTCACCTCCCCAGGGTGCCCCAGGGATCCCTACCTCTTATTCAGCTTATTACAATATTTCTGTGGCCAAAGCAGAGCTGCTGAACAAGTTGAAAGACCAACCCGAGATGGCAGAGATTGGCCTGGGAGAGGAGGAAATTGACCACGAACTGGCTCAAAAAAAGGTGAAGTTTTTGGCATGCCTTAGAGATTTACTGCATTTAGCCTGAGTGTGTCTGGAGGTTGACCTGCCCTCTACACAATCCAGAATATCTTGGTACATTCCTGTATTTTCAATATGGAAATCAAATAGCCTGTCTAGGTTTCTCACAAATGCAACTGCAGTCTCTTTTTGATCCAGTCAATAAAAGTAATAATAGTATAGTAAACATCATCATCATCATCACAGTGTCTCTCAAATCCTAAAACCAACTCTATAAGATAGACATTACTGTCTTCTTTTTACCAGTTGAGAGGACCAGATTGCCCAGGGTTACAGACTAAGTGTTGAGCCAGGACTCAAAGTCAAGACTGTCTGACTTTCTGCTCTGAAATAAGCCAGCCTTGTAAGCAACTCGCTACCCAAGGCACATCAGAGTTTTTGCCAGTGAGCTCTAACCAATGGCAGCCATTGATTTTATTCTGTGTAACTTTCAAAGAGAGAGCAGACTGGCCAAGAAAGAAAAGGAAAAATTATAGGCCAGTCAACTTTAATATTTATTTGCAAGAATAGTCAATCATCTCTTAAAAGTACTAAAATAGACAAATGGAGATGATGTTGTTCTGAAGCCTCCCCTTTCTTCCTCTAAGTACCACTAGCCTGGGTTTCTAATCAAATTCCTGGAATCACTTTGCCCTCCCTGCACTTACCCCTTTTATTTCATAAGCAAATAGGGTTTCCACGGCAACCTCAAAGGCCCAATTTACCACTTTGTAGACATCTGAACTCAATGCAAATTGCTCTTCTGCCCATATTTCTTATTCAGGACATGACCTGTACAAAAGCTCAAGGCCATTTGCAAGAGACCCCCACCACTTTCCAATCTGAAGCAAAATGTCAGGGAAAGAATAGGAAGCATGGTGGCATCAAAGTTTTATTGATCCAGGTGCCTGCTTCCTTGGATTCCATGTTTCCTAAATATGACAGGGCTGCTCCTGGCTCACTCAGGATTTTTTTTATTAGGAGCAAACCTAATAAATGTCTGATGAGGAGAAAAGAGACATGATCAGAAATGGCAAAACACAGAACAGCAGATAGTGACTTGAAGTGATTGTGGGTGGGCTAAGACAGTTTTTGTCTCTGAGGAAGATAGGTGAGGAAGGTCACCAATTTGTAATATCCCAGAAAAGCCACTCAGCTCTAGCTGGGTCTGTGATGACTCCACAGCTGTATCCACTACCCTTTCCCCAGAGTTGAAGTTCAGGTTATAAAGCCCAAGTGCTGAGAAACAAAGGGCTCTGTCCACTTTCTTCCTTCCAGATCTATGGGACCTAAGAGCTGGGGGTAGGTAGGTGATTTTCCAAGTTGATCATTTGGCCCCCAGCCCTCCCTTGTCCCTGGCACTGAGTTTTGTTTGGGAAAGCAGAGGGTGCGGATATAATTGGGAGCTTCTTGGCATCTAATTGTGTTGCCTCATTCATATCATTGATCCTTAATTTCCAGTGGGTTTTGGAAATTTCCCTAAATGTAAACCTATTACACTTTACACTAAGATCATGGTGAGCTCCTGACTTTTGACCAGTTCTGAATTATGACACCTGGCCCAGACCCAGAGCAGGCTCTCTTGTCCTTTGTCACCTCGGACATCTCTAAATAAAGGACGAGAAAAGAACATACTCTACATAACTACAAGCTTATGCTCCCAGAGTGCCTGAGCAGGAATAGTAATAAAACACTGAAGCATACTTCCTATATAGAAGACACTATTCTAAGCATGTAGTATGTATTAAGTCATTTCATTCTCATAACAACACTATGAGGTAAGTAATATTGTTACCCCATCTTTTAGATGGTGAAATTGAGGCACAGAGAGGTTGAGTAACTTGCTCAAGTTTACACCATTACTTTGTGGCAGAGCTGGGGTTCAAACCCAGGTAGTCTGGCACTAGAGTCCATGCCATTGACCATAATGCAATACTGACTGCAAAGGCTGGGAGCAACCTGGGACAGGTCTATTCTTGTCAGGACCTTGCAGCTAGACAGGTATCCATTAGCTCAGAGTGCCAGGTGGTGGTGGTGGTGGTGGTAGTAGTAGTAGTAATAGTAGAAGTAGTAGTAGTAACAGCATCAATAAACATATATTGAGCACTTAATGTGCCACGCACAATACTAAGTACTTTACTTCTATGATCACATCTAACCCTCACAACAATGGACGGTTGGTGGGGGGCACTTCTCCAATTTACGGATGAGGAAACAGAAGTCTCAGTGGGATTGGGTATCTTGCCCAAGGTCACACAGTTTGGAGGATGTGGAATTGGAATCCAGGCATCTCTGACTCTAAAACTCCACTCTACCACACTACCTTCCTGTGAGTGCAGTCCCACAACTGGTTACACCTATAGGGGAGACAAATCAGAAGACACAAGCAGTCCTTCCCTTGAGAAACTTACAGTCAGTAGTGGGAGAGGGATCAGATGCACACACAGGAAACAGAAAGTGAACAACCTCAAAGTACACTCAAGGTTCTCATTCTAAAAGACTGGAGAGTTTAGAAAAGAAAAAGATCATTGAGAGAGGAGTTATGGGGGCAGGGGCTTCCAGCAGGGAGGGTAGGGGCAAAGCTGGGCTCTGAAGAAAGAATGGGAATAGCCAAAGTGAAGGAAGAGATAAAGAGCTGGCAGAACTGCATAAGCAAATCAGGAATATAAGAATGAGTGTTGTGAACACAGCGTGAGGGGCTAATCCTCAGAGGTTCTGAGGAGTGAGATTAGAATGGTAGGGTGAGGCCAGACTGAATCATAATCATAGCAGCTGCTTTTATTGAGCACTTAGTCTGTGCTAAACCCTTGGCATGCATTATCTCATTGAACCCTTATTACAATTCAGTGAAGTAGGTACTGCAGTTACCCCATTCTGCAGATAAAGAAAGCAAAACTCCATACAGAAATTCACCTAAGGTCACACAGCTAGGAAGTGGCAGAGCTAGCAGTCAAACCTAGTCATTGTGACTCCAGGACTCACACTTTTATCCAAAAGGCCTCAAGAGCCAAGCTGAGTGGTGGAAGATCTAGCACAGTGTCATCAACATCAGAGGTACTGAAAGGGATTGAAGGAGAATGAATGAAGTAATAGGCAAACACTTGATGGCAGTGCTTTTCTTACCTATGCTCTCACAAGCATTTCTGTTTATTAAATAGCCTCAGCAAGTATTTAGTAAGTTACATTTGGCAAACGAGAACTAGCCAATGGGTACCACTCATCTAATGCCAAGAAGTTTGGTGGTGACAGAGATTCCTAGCAGATCTGAAGAGATGAGAAAGAAGGTGCCTGTCCAGAAAACTGGAATTGCTCACAACTTGCTCAGGTTTCCTTTGTTTCCAGTGACTAGGGTAGAGCCCGCCTTCGGTTATTTAGATCTCTAAACAGCGGTTCCAGGGACAGATCCATTTCTGTCAGTCCCCATTCTCATCCTTTGCTTCTCCTGTTTATTTCTCCTAGATTCAGCTCATCGAAAGCATTGGCAGAAAACTTTCAGTCCTGCAGGAGGCCCAGCGAGGATTGCTGGAGGACATCACTGCCAATTCTGCCCTTGGGGAGGAGGTGGAGACCAACCTAAAAGCCGTCTGCAAATCCAATGAGTTTGAAAAATACCGTTTGTTTATTGGGGACCTGGACAAAGTAGTCAACCTGTTGCTGTCGCTCTCTGGTCGACTGGCCCGTGTGGAAAATGCTCTCAACAGCATCGATTCAGAGGCCAACCAGGAGAAGGTAGGGTTGAGGTCTCCAGGGTGTGGATGGAGGGAAGTGCCATCTGCTTCTTCCCAGGGATCCCTCTTTCAAGTTTGGCTAGTCTGGAGGCAGCAGAGCATAGTGTGAAGAGTATGGGCACTGGCTTTTAAGTGGAAATTCTGACTTTACCACTAAGTAACTGTGTGATTGTGGGCAATTCACTTAACCTCGCTCTGTCTCCATCCCTTCAAAAATAGGGTAAACACACTACCTACCTCATGGGGTTGTGAAACTTAAATTGGATAATCCATGTTAATGACTTAAAACATAGCCTGGAACAAGATAAACACTAAATCATTGCTAGTTGCCAGTAGTAGTAGTAGTAATAGTAGCAAGTAGTTGAGATTGGGAGTCTGTCAATTTCATAGGTTGGGACACTCTGCATAATTCCTGAACCCAAATGGCATTGCCTTTTTCTATCCAGTGGTTCTTGGATACAAATTTGAACCCACAGTGAAAGGCACATATGCTTGTGTATACACACATGGATACACACACACACACACACACACACACTCACACAGAGACACACACTGTTTTGAAAGTATCGTCACAGCGATGTTTTTTTTTTACCAGATGGAAGGTGTACGAGCTGGCTTTGTCAGAGCCTTCCCCCACCCCAATCCCAGCGGTGGTCCACAGATTAACAACAGTTTAGAGATAGAAAGAGGTGATTGCTCATCCCCCATCCAGAATTGCTGTCATGTTTATCCTCCCCTTGCTACAGGAAAGAAAGGCTTTTGCATGAAGGTGGACTTCAGGGCAAGAAATCTAGGACTGATCACTGAGCAGAGGGGCTAGTGGCTTTGTGGGAGCATCACTGGTGGAGCACTGGGTCGGGCAGATGACTGGTCATTGGGATAGCCTTATTGGTCTTCTGCTTCCCCAGTTGGTGCTGATAGAGAAGAAGCAGCAGCTGACAGGGCAGTTGGCAGATGCCAAGGAGCTGAAGGAGCACATGGAGCGCCGGGAGAAGCTGGTGTTTGGTATGGTCTCCCGCTATCTGCCTCAGGACCAGCTCCAAGATTACCAGCACTTTGTGAAGATGAAATCTGCTCTCATCATTGAACAGCGAGAGCTGGAAGAGAAGATCAAGCTCGGGGAAGAGCAACTCAAATGTCTCAGGGAGAGCCTACTCCTGGGGCCCAGTAATTTCTAATTCCACCAGCAGACTGCCTGCACCATCCCTGCCCCGCCATGATGGGAAGCGCTTTCAATCCTTGTTAGCACTTTGTTAGCAAGTAGATAACAGTTAGTTAGCAGTTTGTTCCATATTCTTTACCCTGTACGTCTCTCACTACCCCTTAACCTAGCAGTGTTCCCAACCAACTAAGAGGACCTGGGGAGGCACCAAGCTTCTACCCAAGGGAGTAGAAGCAAGAAGCAGGAGCTGCAGCAAAGTGTGATCATACAACCACACTCTCCTTCCCACAGTTTGCACGGCCAAGCATTCACCACACACAGGACCAACAAAATGCCTTCATTATCCTTTGTACTAGGACACCAGGAACATCATGTACTCAGCCCCCCCCACACACACACACACCATCATCAGCCTTTGAAGTCTCAGAGAGAAGTTGCCTGTGCAGCTCCACTCTTCCCCAGGGCTCGTGGCCCAGCCATTTCCCACAGAGATCTGGCTGTCTTGAGGGCATTCACCTACCACCAGCTTCAGGGCCTCACCCCAGCTTTGCAGTAGGAAGCACAGAAGGAGAAATGACATTTAACAGAATGTGAGCAGAGGTTGGGAATCACCTGATGCCCTGCTAGAAGGAGCTATGCTTAAACAAACTGGCTCTACCCCTGCCTTCCCCATTACCTAGCTGAGGGGGAGGAGGACTATCTTCAGCCCCAGCTAGTGTGGCCCTCCTCCTGTCCTAAGACTTTGGCCTACCACTTCCTGTTTCATCTTGCCTTTTCACTGCTGGGAGTTACAGGTGCCTACCCTAAGGGCTTCACACTATGGGCCATGAATAGCTCTACTAAAGCTGAGTTCTGGATACATGTTTTATTATTGGGGGGAGGGGGTTGTTGTTATATTTTAAATGGCCTTTTGATTTTATTTATTTTTATGTCTTGATGGTTTTTTTCTGTTTTTTAACTAATAAGGTAAGAAGAGGGGAGTTGGAGAGGGAAAAGTTAGCCCAGAAGGAAAGCATTTTCTGCAGATCAGCCTGAATTCATCATGGCTAGGTAAGCAAGTGCCAAGGCCTTGAATTCTTCCCACCATAGCTAACAAGTGTCTAAGGAAGGAGTTCTCACTTCTAACTCAGTTTCCCCACTGTGGCCTGGCCATATACTTCCCTTGAAGTCTGGATGACCATGAGCTTAGAGTTCCCCAACAGGCTTCAACTGCTTCTTATTTTTTCTTGAAACCAAAGAAATCTGAAAGGGACAAAGGTTCACCCATTTCTCTACCATTTCCAAGCTAAGGAAGGCGTAGAGGTGATCTCAGGAAGAGCTCCTCTATCTAATTGTTTTCTTATCCTGTGGCCTGGCTCGAGTAGCCGAAATTCATGGTAGCTGGAAGCTCCAGCCAGGGCCAGCCCGCCAGAGCAAGTTATAATCCAGCCGGGATCTTAGGCACACAAATAATGAATGCTGCTGCTGTGGCCACCCGGTAGCCAGTTTCTATCCTGGAAAAGCCCTCAGGTGGGTGATGGCAGGAAGGGAGTTGTGGCCAAATGCTGCCCTGTTACCCAGCTCAGTCTTCTGTTCCTTGCTAACTGGGGCCCATGCTTGGTATTGCACAGCCCTGTGCAGCCAACCCGGCATTGCCATCGCTTCTAGTTACTGCTCAGTTCCTCAGGGTCCTTGGAGGTTAACTGTAGCAGCAGGGGTGCCTCATTCAACCAAAGAATTTGCCAAGGAACTTTGCTGCTGCCACAAATACTGGTTGCTAGCTTCCGTTTCCTCTTCATTGTATTTGGAAACAATGGAAGAATCTTGGCCAGCAGGGTGTCCTGTGGGGAGGGGTGCCCTGAGTATGCTCAGTACACTGCTGCTGTCAGAACCACTGTTAAAATGTCAACCTGCCATTCTCCCATCAAGTGGAGGATTCTACTCTATTCAGGAAGGCTGATGGCTTATAAAGGGCTAGGTTTACCTAAGCCAAGGTTGCATGAGATGGGGGAATGCTTTGAATAGAGGCTGTGGTTGCCATCTTTTTTTTTTTTTTTTTTTTTTGTAAACAGGCTCTTAAACAGTGAGCAGGCAGAGATGTCCTGTATTGGGGAGGATGAGGCCAATGTAGCCCAACATTCTAATATTTTTTTTTGCCAGAACAGCTTTTTGGGAATATAGCCTAGGGAAAAAAGTGGCCACTTACCTGGACACCATGACCATGGTCTGGGCTTTTCTAGTCAGCATTAGAATGATTGTATCTTAAGTTTATCAGACTAAAAGTACTATTGACTTTGTTATTTGTTTCCCTTATCCCACCTCCAATTATTCTAAAGTTAGGATCAGAGTACAAGAATGCTCATTTTCACACGGAGTTTCCAAAGCACTTAATACTATATTGAGCAGTGAAGCTCGGCAGACAAAGGTGAACTACCAGACAGGCACAGATGCCCCACAATGCTGACGTGGCAGGCCCATCATGAGTGATAGCACTGCAAAGCCGCCGGTATTACTTGAGATGCAGTATCTCTTGCCCATTCTCATTTGCTGTGCTCAGCCCTCCACCAAGGCCTGCCAGGGAGTAGCAGTTTGGAAGGCAGGGCAAGGGATTTCCCCATACAGGCCACAGTGGGTAATGTGTAAGCACAGTGGTTGAAATTTAGAGCGGAATCAGCATAAGGGGCTCTGGGTAATCGAGTCTCCTTGAGTCCCACCAGCTGCAGACTCAGCCAGGGTAGAGCAGTAAATGCTCAAGGGGAAGCCAAGAAAAAGCCCTAGAAAATGAGAGACTGGAAGCTGAGGAACGGAGAGGGTGAAAAGATGAAAAGCCTCTTTCAAGGCCAGATTCAGGTTCTGTTTTCCATTTCACCTCATGTGCCAAAAAGCTGCCGAGGGGCACCGGAGCCACAGCCTTAACCCCAGCCTCCCTAAAGGTGCTGCTCTGCCAGTAGCAGGCCCCAAATGGAGGAAGCTGGGCACATTTCTGGCCACTTTCTCCTGTCTGAAGCTTGATGTCTCCCTCTGTCTTTGCCAAAGGAATTGTCTATGCCAATAATATTTCTGTAACAGCATATTGTATTCTTTGAAGATTAGTAGGTCTTTAGAGGGGGGTGGGGCAAGGGGCAATTTCTATAGGGAAAGAACCAGTGTTTGTTGTACAAATGTTGGGGGGGTCATCTATCCCATGTGAAGCTATTATTTTTCTGAATCTTATTGTTTCTGCGTTTGTGTCCTCCACCACTCCCTTCTTGGCTGACATTGATATGCCTGCCAGATTGTCATCAAGGGTCATACTTCAATAAAAGGTGCTAAGGACAAAAATAAAATTATCTCACGTGTTTTGACTAAGGTCATGGAAATTCCCTAATATACTGCTGAAAAGTATTGGAAAGGAATTTGGTCACCTATCCATAGTCCTTCATAGGTAACCGTATGATCAGAGCCTTACCCACACCCCTAAACCCTTATGCTGGCCCCTCAGGGATAGCATTGATGCTACACCATTCATTATTCCCAGTACAGTAACTGAGAATTCAGGAAGAGTCAACAATAGGCATGATCTCAGGTGTAGACCTCAGCAGTATACAGAGCCCAGTTCTGGAGTCTATCCTGATCAGAGGTGAGCCACTTTCTAGACCTCCTCCAATCTTGAGTTCTCTCTACTAGTATCATCTGACTTCTACCTGATAGTTCAGTCTCACACCTTTACTCTTAGTCACTGATCAGCTTTCCAAGATAACCTCAAGATTTAGACCCAAATATACTCCAGGCAGCTCCTCTGACCCTGAAAATCTTACTTGCCCCCCCATCCATACATTATTGATATCCCAACTGATCTCCTCCTATTCCAGATATCCAGTGCAGTAGAGTAGAAAGAGCCCAGTTTGGGTATTGGAGTGAACTGTGTTCAAATCCTGATTCTGCAACTTACTTCTTATTCTATGAATCTGGCTTATTTGCTCAACTTCTGAGTTCATTTTCTTATCTGTAAAATGGAAACAATAATATGTGTCTTTCTTACAAGACTGTTGTGGCTTAAAAATAATAAATGATAGCCACCAGCTATATACTAAGAGGTTGTTTGTTAGAAAGGCAGAATCAATCCCAGACTCCACTCGAAACTGAATGATAATAGTCTGCATTTTAACTAGACTCCCAGGAGATTCATGTGCATATTAAAAGTTGAGAAGCACCAGCTTATCACAAATAGGCTCAGTACATAGTAACCATCATTCGAGTCCTGATTTACTCAGTTCATTCTTTTCCAACCCAGACACATTCTTGCTTTTCTCATATTGCTCACAACTACCTGCCTAAATGAGTTTAGCAAGGTCTCAGGATACAAGGCTGATATATAAAATCACTTCTGTTTCTGTACACTAGCAATTAACAATCTGAAAACAATTTCATTTATAGTAGCATCAAAAAGAATAAAATACTTAGGAATACATTTAACAAAAGAAGTATAAGAATTTTATACTGAAAACTAAAAACTGTTGAAAGAAATTTTAAAAAATCTAAATAAAGGCACTCTATGTTCATCGATTGGAAGAGTTAATATTGTTTAGATCACAATACTCCTCAATTGACCCACAGATTCAGTGCAATCCTTATGAGAATCCCAGCTGGTTTCTTCGCATAAATGGAAAAGTCAAACCTAAAATTCATATGGAATTGCAAGGGACCCAGAATAGTCAAAACAATCTTTAAAAATAACATAATTGGAGGACTCACACTTAATTTCAAAATCAAATCTCACTACAGAGCTACAGTAATCAAGACAGTATATGTACAAGGATAGACATATAAATAAATGGAATAACATTGAGAGTACAGAAATAAACCCTCATATTTATGGTCACTTAATTTTCAATAATGGTGCCAAGACAATAAAATGGAGAAAGAATAGTCTGTCAACAGATGATGCAGGGACAACTGGGTATCCACATGGAAAAGAATGAAGTTGGATCTCTTCCTTATACCACACAACAAAATTAACTTGAAATGGATTATAAAGCTAAATGTAAGCATTAAAATTACAAAATTCTTAGAAGAAAACATAGGAATAAATCTTCCTGACATTGGGTTAGGCAATGATTACTTCAGTAGAACTTCAAAAGCACAACTGACAAAAATATCAATAAATTGGGGGCTTCCCTGGTGGCGCAGTGGTTGAGAGTCCGCCTGCCGATGCAGGGGACATGGGTTCGTGTCCCGGTCCGGGAAGATTCCACATGCCGCAGAGCGGCTGGGCCCGTGAGCCATGGCCGCTGAACCTGCGCGTCCAGAGCCTGTGCTCCACAACGGGAGAGGCTGCAACAGTGGGAGGCCCGCGTACCACCAAAAAGAAAAAAAATCAATAAATTGGAATACATCAAAACTTTAAACTTTTGTGCTGCAAACAATGCCATCAAGAAAGTGAAAAGACAATCCACATAATTGGTAAAGTATCTAATATTGGGCTTTTATTCAGAACATGTAAAGGACTCTTACAATGCAAAAATAACCAATTAAAAATGGGCAAAGACTTTTTCTTTTTATCAGAATAGACGTTTCTCCGAAGAATATATGCAAATGACCAATAAGCACGGGGAAAAATACTCAACACTAAGGAAATACAAATCAAAACCACAATGAGATACCAGTTCATACTGACTATGATGGCTATAATAGAAAAGGCAAACAATAACAAGTGTTGGTGAGGATATGGAGAAATTGAAACACATACATTGCTGGTGGGTAAAATGTAAAATGATGTGGCCATATTGGAAAACAATTTGGCAGTTTCTTTAAATGATAAACATAGAGTTTCCATATGACTTAGCAATACCACTCCTAGGCATATAGCCAAGAGAATTGAAAACAGGCATTCAAACAAAAACATGTACACAAATGTTCAAAGCTGCATTATTCATAACAGCCATAAAGTAGAAACAACCTAAATGTCCATCAGCTGAGGAAGGGATACACAAACTTTGTTGGGATATTATTCAGCCATAAAAAGGAATGAGGTACTGATACCTGCCACAACATGGATGAACCTTGAAAATGTTATGCTAAGTGAAAGAAGCCAGTCACAGAAGATCACATATTGTATGATTCCATTTATATGAAATGTCTAGAATAGGCAAATCTACAGAGGCAGAAAGCAGATGAGTGGCTGCCAAAGGCTGGTAGTCTGGGAGAAATGATTGCTAATGGGCATGGGGTTTCTTTTTGGGGTGATGAAAATATTCTAAAATTAGATTGTCATCAAGGTTGCCCAACTCTGTGAATATACCATAAACCATTGAATTGTACACTTTAAATGAGTGAGCTGTATGGTATATGAATTATTTCTCAATAAAAGTGCTTTTTTAAAAAAGAAAAATACTTTGGCCTATTTCTGTCAGTCTCATTCCTATTGACAAAAATCTGAATTGATGGTAAGCATGTAGTTCATGCCTGAGCCTGAAAGATACAATATTCACACCATTTGTGTTTTGGGAGGGAGCTTGTCATTACATCCTTCCCCTTGCAGACTTGGCAGACCCAGCAACACAAGGAGTAAGAGTAGTCTCAACGCTATCTCATGACTTCAGCGGGAATAGTAGGGATGGGACCTATTGGGGAAGAGGGCAATCTTTCTAGGCAAGGAGTATGGTAGAGTAGATAAGGACTTCAACTCTTTAGGCAAATAAATCAGGTTTTAGATCCTGAGTCCATCAACTTACTATGTCACCTATACAAGTTACTTGACCCCTCTCAAGCTTCATCTCTAAAAGGGGGCTAATAAAAAGCACTACCTCAAAGTGTTATGAAGATTAAATGAGATAATCCACATGAAGCACCTAAAATAATGCCTGCCATACAGTAAGCATTCAGTAAAGGTTAGCTGCTAGATTTATTATTTTTATTGAGGTGAAATTGAAGCAAAACCATATAAGGAAAAGTAAAGCACCCTCAGCTTTGGAATCAGACAGCTCTGTTAAGGTGACCTGGGGAAGTCACTTCATTTATGGGACTTTAAGCTCCCTGTAATAATGAGTATAATAATCCTTCTCTAGGGAGGCAGT